CTGTCGGCAGAATATTAACCTAAATGTTTTCAATTTGGTGATTAAAGGAATTATTTCTAGCAGCATGACCATTGCATAGTTAGGCTTATTTTATTCAAATATATTTATGTGTATTGAAAATTTGGACAGATGGAAACTTTCAGTGGAAAATATCATAGAAAAAAATCATTGTTAATTGTTTGGGCTTTATAATATAGTCAGCTATATAAACAGTCAGCTGTTTATAAAATATCAGTTGAAAACAAAATCAAAAATATCAAATCAAGTTAACTTTTATTTTTAATACTAATAAAAGAAATTCAATAATATTTTATTGATTCCAGTTTTTAAGGGGTATAAAAGGTAGGATAAGTTCGAATCTATGAAACAAACAGAAGCTTCCTGGAAGTTCTCCCAATATATGTATATAGGAGTACATTTATGATCAGGATGACAAGACTAGTCGATAAAGCGATGTCCGTCTGTATGAACGACAAGAACTCAGTAAAAATAAGAACTAGAGTAACCAAACTTGGTATCCACCTTTCCTTAAGCAATAGGCAGAAAAAGTTAATGTTTTTTTTTCTGATGCACCCTCCATTTTCCCGATCTTGGTGATTTTAAATAATGCCCGCCCGATCTCAGCTTTCCATTATTATTCTATTTACATAAATTTAACTAAGAATTCATCCTAAATTATAGGGTGATGTTCATAGCAAGAGCAACGAAAGCCTTTAGTCTGGGTGTTAATATATGTATTGGTCTGTGCGAGTAGTTTATTTGGAGGGGAACTTTTGAAGAAGGTACATTGATTTCATATGAATTGACAGTGATTGGTAACCTGTTCTAACCATAGAATACTAGAGTACTAGCATTATAGTATGGAGAGAGCGGTGAGGATGAATCGTTGAATAGGTCGAAGTGCAAGTTTTGTTTTTCGAGATGAATTTGTTGTTTTGTAATAGTACGTGCGTTGTGGATTATAAAATTGGTCGACCAGGCGAACTGACGCGAACGCGACGCCAATCTTCCTATGAGTAAGATCAGTTACATCATTTGTCTGGTTTTAAGTTCCACATAATCATTTCAGAGTTTGCATTTAGTAAATATTTTAATTATATTCAGCACAACTTATACACCTTCCACTAATGTACCAAAAAAAAGTAATGTTTCGAACTGTTATACAGGGTTATTTGTCTTCAAAACTGTCAGCTCCAATATGTTGATACTTGACCCCAGTCTCAAAGGGGTCCCAAGTGGAGCAATTCAATTGAATAATCTCTTGAAATAAAATGCAACAACTTGACGATGACTCCTCGGGCGACGCATGCCACACTGCTGGCCACTCGAGCCGCCAACTTCAATAAACCTCAACACTTAATTAATAAAGACATACCACGTAATTGTTGATTTTGTTGTTGTTGGGCATTTTTTAGCTTTTGCATAATTAAAGGCACGCTTTCAACGCGCTGTCAACTGCAATCATCGACCGTCTGTCTGGCCGGCCATCAGTGCGGGCCAACACTTGTTTTTCTTTCTTTTCCATTTCTTGCTTCTTTTTTATCAATTTATTGTACGCATTGATTTTATGTTCCATTTTTATAACTTGATACGACATAAATCCGGGCATTTCTTGCTACTGTTGCTGCTTTCATGGTTGCTTTTTATTGCTGCTGCTGTTGTTTGGCGTCAATTCGGCCCCTGGGGTTCGGATACGGGCTCAGTCCGGCCATTTATAGCCGAAGCGCGTGTTATGTTTTCACACATAAACAACTGTAATTATTATATTGAACATTAGCCGACCTATTTGTCTGTCATTAGGGGGGCATTATGCTAATCAGAGGCTCGGTCGGCCAGGTGTTGAGCCGACGACACACAAAGTCTACAAGCAAAGCAAGCAAAGCAAAGTTCCTGCGGTTGATTTAGCTCTGCTTCAAGTGACATGCAATTATTTATACATTACCCAGAGTTCAAATATTTGCAGACAGACAATGTGACAACTTGAGAGCTAAGAGCTAAGACAAATAACAACTTTTTCGTGCATTGCGTATACGCCGCGTATTTTGCCAGGCTTGAGAGAGGGATGGATATCTGTGCGTAAAAGTTTTATGTGCTGGCACTCACTCGTATAGGCACAGTCTTTGGTAAAAAGTTAATCAATGTGCGCTAAAGAAGAATGGGTAAGTTTTTCACGTAACTATTGATCCTGACCTTAAGTTGTAAGGTCAGGAAACAACAAACTTTGTAGACTAAACAGGGACTATTCTTTTTAGATAAAAAATAAACATTTCTTTCTATTGAAAATAGTTAAACTTTTTAAGTGGAATCTTTCAAGAAAAGTAACTTATTCATATCTCATTGCCTTTAAAATTATAATTAATAGAAACATTGGTAAAGGTAAAATAATTTAAGTACGATAAGCGGCTTAGTCGGCCTAATTTCATTTGATTTTTTTATCTTAAGTAGAATCGTATATGTTTTACTTTTATTTCAGAAAATAAACATCAAACCCTAGTTTTTTTCTCAAAGTGTAAATTAATAACTTCTCTGTTTATTATCTGTTCTACAACATTTCATTATTATATCAATCTAAAAATGGATATTGAATATAATGAGAAAGTTACAGTGGGAGCCACTGTATGCATGTTGTCTGAAGTAAACTTTACAGAGTCTAATAACAGCTGATTGATAGATTAAAACTAAAATCAATCAACTAAAACCAATAATAGTTTTGAACTAAAATATAGAGCCTACAGTAGAGTTTCCTTAACACTATATTTGTCTTTTTGCTACAGTAAACTTATTTGATATATTCTTTTTAAAGCCTGTCTAATACGACCCAATCTTTTTAGCTGATAATTAAATAAAAGAATCGCTTTATTGATAAGCTATCCATTGTAATTCAATTTATAAGACCTGGTAAAGTAAGGTCAACAGACAAAGGTCTTTGAAATTTAACATACGTGGATATATACATACGAGTACATATTTTCATTCTATTTATGAAAGAGTCAGAAATTGTTTGCAAATTGTTCTTTTAAAGGGCGGCCTTCAATTTGCACACTTGAAACCCTTATACGATTTCAAACTCTGTTTTCATCTCCTATATTTCCAAAGTTCATCGCGTTGTACAAAAATTTTTTACCAACATTCGCACTGATGCTAGAAGTTGCGAGCGTTTGCTCTCTAAGTTCCTATGCGGCCACGTATTAGCTAGCCGGGAAACAATGCCAGTTTCCTTTTGTCGGCATTGGCTTGCATTTGGCGAAGCGAGTCCCGTGCTTTCAACACGCACGTTCATATCCGTCCGACGCCAGTCACGCAGCAAGGCAACAATCTATCAAAGGATCCGCATTTGTGCGTGCCTTCAATAAGCAACGCCCTAATGTATGCTATACTCTGCGAGTAAGTCCTACAAACACACTCACACGCAGGCAACCAGTGCTCGTCACAGAGTCAATCAACGGAGGCAGAGGTAGGACAAAGTGAAAGCTGTCAGCAGACACTGGTTGTGCAGGTAGCAGCTGCTGATAAGCGGGCATACCACTCATCCATCCACCTGTTCCATCAGCCATTTGCTGTATTTCCCTCCCACACGCACGCACTTACACTCTGCGCTTTGTATACCCTGTATCCGAAACATGAAAGTGTATGCAAAGAAGTTTGAAAAGTGTGTAACAGGTAGTAGGGGCCTGGCAGACTACAACTACGCAGATGCAAAATCAGCATTACGAAATGACACGAAATTAGCACGAAATTCGTTTGACTTTCCGTTTGTCTGACTGTCTGTCTGTATGACCATCGATCGCTTCTAAGCTATAATAGCTAGGGAGACCAAACTCTTCATGTACGCTTGTCTTACTTAAATGTAGACTTAATTTATTACAAATCATTTATGATGTGTTTTTTATAGCTGCCATAGGAACTATCGTTAAGACAACAATTTTGAAGTATTTATTCTATTTATTCTGGTATTAGAACCAAATATTATCATTTCCTATTCTGAAAGCTTTATTTAAATCGTATGACTATATAATTTTTTAACGAAACTCGGTATTCTTGGGTTTTTTATAAGTGCAAAAGGAACAATCTGTACAAAGTCACTCTTAGTTGAACCAGTTGCTTAATTATTCCGATATGACAGTTCTATTAAGAACAATAAATATAACTTTATAAAATTTCATAATTACAAGGTATACAAGAGTCGCATATTCGCAATATTCGTACTTTTGCGCTGTCTGTGTGCGTTTCCTTTTATGTCTGATCGCATTTCTGGGCATAATTTCGCTTCACTTGTTGCTGATAAGCATTTCAACATGTTAAAAGCAAGGCCGAAGGCCTCGCCAAATTCAAATATATGGCCTACCTACAGGCGTGAAATTTATGGAATTTGCTTAGCGCTTTCAAATTTGAGCAAACATTTAAATGGCGCCATAAAATCACTTAAGTGTATTTTCTGCTACATGCGCGTCCCATATTTACGGGCTCGTATACGCAATGCCAGGCACGCACACACATTTCCACAAGTCCTGCAATGCCCGTAACCCTAAGCCAAACATCCAATGCACATTTTCCATGCAGCACATGTCGAGGAAACAAAACCAAAGGAAAAACCACAGCAAACAAATGTACATACATATGTACACTCGTTGTGTGTGTAGGCCTTTTTCCAGTGGAAAAAAGAGGCCAGCAAACACAGCTCGTGTTTGCCATAATGGCGCAACAAATCCTGCGAGAATATCCTGCCGCACATTTTGCAATTTCTATGTGCGTTCCTTCGTTCATTCAGCCGCTCTGCGGAAGAGGCATCTACTTGTATGACAAAACGGAGGCTAACAGAAAGCCATACTCGTATTAAATTCGTTATAAATTAAGATTGATACAAGCTACACCCTGGGGATCACACGAGCTGTGGTCTGAGAACCCCACATCGCCATGATGTGGGTTCTCTGCCCAGAAGCTTAAGGGCACAACTATGTACACACTTACAAGTATATCCATTTCATCATTTGCCAACTTACCCCTTGTTCAATGCTGCCAGAAACGTTAACTGCAAAGAGTTAGAGAGAAGAGAGGGGGAAAACTTAGTAACTAAATCAAACATAGAGTGATATATACTTTTTAAAAGTTTTAAGTAAATTCGTTCTGATTATCGTTTAAAATGTCAAAAAAAGACAGACAAATACTCGTAAATAACTTGTAAGCTCTTACGATAACAATTAGTTTATAGATTTGATATAAAATTTTATAAAAAATTACGTTTGAGCAAAATAAATCAATATTTTTAGTTTATATATTCATAAATGTCGGTTACACCGATTCATACTTGGGCTTATTGAGAACATTAAAAAGAAGTCCTTTGTCAATTCTTGATATCTCGATTTATTTAAGTAATATAATTTCAACCCCCATAATTTAATATTCATGCAATTACTAACAATAAAGCGACATCACCAATACGATTAGATAAAGCAGTTAATATACCAGCATTATAAGATTTAATATTTTGAAAATAAATTACTAAACAAACCAAAGCTTTTATTAAAATGGAATTTAAAAGGCATCCACAAAACGGCAACAATTCATAAAGCTGAACCGAACAAATAGGACCAAAATCGACTAACACAATACTTATTTGTCTTAAAATCAAAAAACTGTAAATGAATTTTAAATTAAATTTAAAGAGTAAACGCTTAATAATTGAAAATAAAGTTAATTTAACAGATAAATAACTAATATTCAAGACGCAAGAATATCATCAAGATTGGGATGTTGTTGGGAACGCTACATTAATAAAATTAATTGATAAAACAAGATTTTAATATTAGTTCTACGTATTGTTACTTCTTTTTAATATTTTCTAAAAACTCTTTAATATTTGAATTTATATATTAATGCAGATGTTGAATAGGAAGGTTATTTATACTTCCACGTTGTATTACATACATACTTGTATAATCAATAAATTCCATTTAATATGTAAACATGAAATGATCTGAAACTGTACTGTGTTTTCAATTAAGGGAATATAAACGGAGTTTTCACAACTAAATATTTGATATATCAAATATTAATGGAAGCTGATTAACCAAAGATAAAATAAAAATTTCCAATATCTTTTGGATTTGGTTAAAGTAAACATTTTCTGATTTAAATCACTTAAGTATAGACTTTAATTTAATCAATCTTATCGTCAAAAATGTGATGTCAAAGTAGAAGGTAAAACTTACGAAGTCTTAAATGATAAGCCTATATTTAAAAGAAGTTTTTAATGTAACTTCAAGCATAGCAAGTAATAATTCTACAATTATAAGCCTAACCGTTTTACTTGTATATAAAATAAGATGAAAATAATTGATCTTAATGAAATAATTTCAAATATTGAATGTATAACATATAATACAAGCCAAAAACCTTACCAATGAGCATATATATTTACTACTTGTATATATACGAAGCAACGGTCAGATGTGCTGACAATTTGCACACAAATATCTGTTATTATACAAGAAGTTTGTTTTAGAAGAAAACCATATTTTGGTTGAAAAAAACGTTATTAATTTATAATAGGAGAAACACTTTATTCATGACACACTTTACAAATTTGACAAAGTTTTGTGCAAAATATTTGCGAGCCTCGCTAGAGCTTCAAACTCAGGTTTGATTTTTGATCCCCCTAGAGGGCCCACAATTACTGTTCAAGTAATTTGAATTATTTATTTCTTGGCAACATTCAAAAACGACAAACAATCGCATCAGCAGCTGACTGATTTCTTTAACTCTGAACAGCCTAAGCATCCTAAAAGCCACTTTTCAAACCTTTGGAAACTTTCGCTTCATGCACTTTCCACAGGAATTTCTTTTACTTCTTAGCTGGCTCGCTAAGCATTTTTACCGTTAATTCGTTGGAGCATTTACAGCTAATTCAGTTAATTCGCACTTCAGAAAAGTGCCCAGAGAGAAAAACCTTTGCCTGTCTGTCTGTTTGTCTGTTTGTCTGCTTGTCTGTCTGTCCTCCTGGCTGCCTGCCATTGCAACAAATCGTGCAGCTGAGGGCAAAATATCGAAAGACGCGCCAGTTTTTTAATTGACAGACCCAGCGAAGCGTGGGAGGTGCAAAAGGAGGAAGCAGCAAGCAAAGCAATGCGAGAAAAAAAGGTCAGACAGGTAAAAATAAAGGTGAGCAGAATTCGAGAAACGAGAAAAAAGTCAGCCAGCTGCGTTGGACGCAGAGCCTCTGGCAGCTGGGCCCACGCTTTGAGGATGTGGGAACTGGCGAGTGGAAGAGTGGAGGAGTGGAGGAGTGGAGGAGGGGAGGAGGGGCAGTGGCGAGGGCGTAAGTCTCAGCCTTAGCTTTAACCCAAGTCTGCGTTTTAGCCTCGACGAGCAACTTGATTAAAGATTTCACACTTGATTAAACAATTTCAGTTGCTGCTGCCGTGCTTGTTATTTTTCTTTCTTATTTCATTTCTTTGTAGCTTCAGTTAAGGCTGTTGCTGTTGTTGTTGTTGCTGCTGCTGTGTTTCAAGAGACTGCTGTTCAGTTATAAAGCTCCAATTGCAAGTTTCAAGTTCGTTGCTGCAATTGATGAACTTGTATTTCGCCGTTCACTTAACAGCTGTGCGAGCTGCTCTTTTGCCGCTTTTTCTGTTTTCTGTTGCCGTTGTTTACTTGGCAGTGGCTTATACAAGTATTTATTTATATTTACGCGCTTTTGAGTGGAATGACCTGGCAAAAAATAAAATAAAAACAAAACAACAACAGCCACAGCATGCAAAAAAAAAAATGGTAACAAAATAAATTTGAAGTGCACTCATAGCTCAGCCTTTAGCGGCAACAAGCAGCTTCCAGCCAGCTACCAACGTCAGCAATTAGTTAGCCTCGCGGAGCAAACTTGGCCAAAAAAAGGAGTACAGCGATTAATGAACACAACCAAGCAAATTGATGGGCACAAGCGTCACGGCGGACGGAAGACATGCCTCAGTTGTTGCACTTACTTGTACATCGGGGTAAAAAAAATCTATGAAGACTAGATAACAACAACGACAAACTGAGTCCAAGACAAATAAACCTAAGACTAAAAAGCTATCAATGGTACTCATCAATACTGAAAATCAGTGTCTCTAGAAAAACTCTGCAAGTGCTATAGAAAAAGTTAAGAAGCTCAAAAACAGGCATAGAAGACCCCATGTTATATTTACATACTATATATGATCAGCATATATATAGTATATGATGTTTGCCTGCCCGTCGACCGTGTGCTCCTTTGTTCGACTGTATGAACATCGTGAACTATTAAACCAAAACAGCTAGGGACACCAAATTTGGTATGTAGACCTATCTTATCCATATGCAGCGCAAGTTTATTACAAAACACAGATTGCTCTATTATTTTATAAAGCACACATAACTTTTTTGTGTATAAAGATATCGTCGGTAAAATTAGTATAAACGAGCCTCATCTGAAGTTTTTTAAAATATTGCCTAATAGCAATAGAAACGATCCGTTTACTACAAGTATATCATATAGCTGCCATAGAAATAATTGGTAAAACAAAGCTTATTTTAGTTAAAAAGGTAAAGTGTTGATAAAGGAAGTGAAAAAAGAGAAAAAGAGAAAAGAAATCCGAAAAAGTGAGCTATTAATCGGAATGTCCTTCCAAGTCCAATTGTGTCATAGTACGGTGGCCAGAGCTGGACAAAGCAACTAACATCACGCTGCTTGGCGGCGGAACATCAGTGACACGTTTGACAGGAAACCCACTGATGAACTTAATATACTATAAGTGATGCACTAAATATAACTCTTCATCTTCTTAAGGGGCAGAAGAGGATCATCATCAAAACTTACCCACCTACACAGCCTTAAACTTAAAGAAAACTTTGCATGGAAAGATTCAGCGAAAAGGCATGAAAAATACTCCGCGTATAAGTCCGCCAGACTTATACTGATTATCGAATAACAGTAATTACCTTTGTAAAACACTATGCAGATAGGATTTCCTCGTGTAAGGAACAACTCCATGAAGGTTTTTATTGGTGGCTCAGAACTGGTAGGGAAAATCGGAGCAGGAATCTACTCTCCAGACTGGGGATAAAACATTCCTTCCGTTTTCCGCACCACTGCACTATTTTACTAATTTATTTAATTTAATACGAAAATATTTCGTTTGTTAGAATTAAGAGCTTTCAATTAAAAACTTGACTTTATAACATGCATACATAGACCAACATAGTCGCTGTTTGGTTAATTAATAAAGCAACAATTTCGCTAATCATTAAATTAATACAAATAGTTATTCAGAACATACTATGCTGTTAAGCTACTTACGGTTGAAAATATAAAATAAATCAATTTCCCTCATGCTAAATAGGGAATTTGGTTTCATCGCAAAACTAACCGCAACTAATAGCCCCAACTGCAAGGCAGCTTTTTACATTTAAGCTCAAAGGACATTCTAATTAAATACGAAAGTATGCATGTACAAACATTTTGTTCATTTGTTTGCATTTGTTTTTTGTGTTCATTGATTGATTGCATATTTATGCCATTTGTGTTATTTGCAAAGCAGACATTCGTGTATCGCGAGTTTTTACAATTTTGCACAATGCCAGCAGAATATATTCGAAATATTCGAATATTTGTGACCACATCAAGTATACGAGGAAGAGAAATATAAATGCGACGCATTCTGCAATCCCCACACAATGGCAGTGGCAGCCCCACTTACAATGACTTTTAATATTTTATTAAATAAATATAACGAACGAATGGCCAAACAAAATACGAGGCAAACACAATAACAACAACAGCAATTGTGGCGAAAGAGTAAAACATAGCAAGACAATTAAAAGCGCTGGCAAGGCAACAACAAAAACAACAAAAACAACAAAAAGGGAGCGACCGACCGGGCCAGACCAGAAAACGCCGCAAAGTTGCGGGCGGTCGCTTAAGTCGTGATCTGGGCACTATAACTGGGTCAAATCTGAGCATGATGTTGTTGCCAGCGGATGTGGCTGTGAATGGGGAATTGAAAGCGCACAATATCTA